CACTCACCAAGTTCGTAGAGAACGAGGAGATGTAAAGACCAGACAGGGTGCCAGAGGGGGCCGCCGGACACGGGAGGACAGTGGAGAAGTGAGCAAGGATAGGACCCCCAGAGGGGTCTGCTAGGGAGACTGTAACTGGCCGACCAAGCGGCGTGAGTGTGGTGCGGTCTCGAAAGAAGGAGCGAGAAGCCCCCGAGTCAAGTGTGAAGGTGTGGGAGGCCGAAGCCGACGCAGACCCACTAGCACCGGAGGAAGCAGACGCACCAGTCCTGGAGGAAGCAGACGCACAAGCACCTAGAGCAGCAGCCTCGCTAGCACCAAGAGCAGCAGCCTCACCAGCACCTAGAGCAGTAGTCGCAATGCCCGGGTCGGGCGGGAAACACCGGTAACAGTCACCCTCCTCACTAATAGACACAGTATACATAGCAGCAAGAATAGCATCTAAGTCAAGGTCAAAGATAGCTACCCCTGCCCTAGACAGCTCGCCCCAGTGAGGGATCTCAATGGCCTCAGGGAACTGGTAACGCCAAGCGTCCGTCAGTCGGCGAAAGCAGCGCTGGGTGGGGTGCGCACCCCCACACTGCTCACTTGCACGGTCGCCGGTGCGCAGGACGTAGGTGCACGAACCAGTACCCCCACCCCGCTGGCGTGCAGAGTACCACTCACGGAGCTGCTGAGGGGACAGGGTCTCCCGACTGCGCTGCTGCTGCTGGCGCTGACCACCACCGGAGCCACTCCTCTGTGAAGAGCCATGACCTCCTCCTCCTCCTCCTCCGCCACCGCCTCCTCCACCTCCGCCACCTCCACCACCTCCGCTCCCACCGCCACCGCTGCCGCCGCCTCCGCCTCCACTGCCGCCGCCGACACCTCCACCCCCGCCACCACTCCCACTCCCACCCCGACCCCCTCCACTGCCTCCACCGCCGCCTCCACCGCCCCCGCTAGCTCCTCCAGCGCCCCTGCCCCCCTTGCCCTTGCCAGAGCGACGCTTCCCACTAGGGGTAGACGCCGCACCAACCGACTCCAGACCAACGAGGTCGGCCGCAGCGGAAGAGGCGATAGAGGGCAATAGGGGGGAAGGAGAACACCCCTCAAAGATGGGGGTGCGAGGGTCACCACGAGAGGCCCCTACAGCGACTCTGCTCTTCTCTGCCGCTAGGAGGGACTTCTCGAGGAGGTCTACAGTGAGAGTGGTGGGACAGACTGAGAGGAAGTGGTCCCTGACTACACGAAGGGAGTCAGGGAGACGAGTGACTATGAAGTAGAGAGTGATGTACATGGGGGGGGGGTTCTCGGCGCAGAAGTCAGCAGGGAGCGCAGCGCGGTAGCGAGTGTCACTAGTGCGGAGGTGCGTAATGAGGTCAGCGACTGTGGGAAAGGCAGCAAGGTCAGGGAAGAGGTACGGTAGCATGAGTCGGCTCAGTGCAGCTTTGGCAGGGGAGGAGTAGCGTGCAACTACAGCGTCGTACAAGGTCTGAGCACTCTTGTACTGGCTAAAGTGCGCACGCTCAGAGGTAGGAAGGTGGCGACGCACAGCAAGACGTGCAGCAGCATCGCGCGTGGCCCACTGTGAGCGAACAGTGGCGTCAGCATCAGCAGCAGGGGCAGGAGAGGCACCAGAGGTGAGGTCAAAGAGAGAGGCCGTCTGCCCTATCGCACTGTAAGAAAAGCTGCACGTCATCTATCCCGACGTCAAAGTCAATGGCCCTACCCTCAGCGTCAAAAGCGAGGACACTAGGGGTAGCCATGACAGAAGTAGACTAGCAGCGCAAACAGTAGGGTAAGGGCAGTGCGGAGAAAGAGGCGCTGCTCTTACCGGAGAGGGCGGCTCGAGCGACTCGGCGGTGCGGGCGGCTCGGCTGCTGGGCGGCTCGGCTGCTGGGCGGCTCGGCTGCTGGGCGGCTCGGCTGCTGGGCGGCTCGGCTTCTGGGCGGCTCGGCGGCTGGGTGGCTCTGCAGCTCGGCTGCTGGGCGGCTGGGCTGCTCGGCGGTTCGGCTGCAGGGCGGCGCGGCTGTCGGCTGCTCGGCTGGGTATGGCGGTTTGGGCAGCTCGGTTGGCGGGCGGCGCTGCAGCAGGCGACGGGGCCGCAGGTAAGGGCGGCGAGGCCGCAGGTAAGGTGGCGGGGCCGCAGGTAAGGTGGTGGGGCCGCAGCGAAGGGCGGCGGGGCCGCAGGTAAGGTGGCGGGGTGGTAGGTAAGGTGGCAGGGCCGCAGCGAAGGGCGGCGGGGCCGCAGGTAAGGTGGCGGGGCCGCAGGTAAGGTGGCGGGGCAGCAGCGAAGGGCGGCGGGGCCGCAGGTAAGGTGGCGGGGCCGCAGGTAAGGTGGCGGGACCGCAGCGAAGGGCGGTGAGGCCGCAAGTAAGGTGGCGGGGCTGCAGGTAAGGTGGCGGGGCCGCAGCGAAGGGCGGCGGGGCCGCAGGTAAGGTGGCGGGGCCGCAGGTAAGGTGGCGGGGCCGCAGCAGCAGGCGACGGGGCCGCAGGTAAGGGCAGCGGGGCCGCAGTGAAGGGCGGCGGGGCCGCAGTGAGGTGGCGGGGCCGCAGCGAAGGGCGGCGGGGCCGCAGCAAGGTAGCGGGGCCGCAGCAAAGGGAGGCGGGGCCGCGGTAAGGGCGGCGGGGCCGTAGGTAAGGGCGGCGGGGCCGCAGGTAAGGGCGGCGGGGCCGCAGGTAAGGGCGGCGGGGCCGCAGGTATGGGCGGCGGGGCCGTTGGTAGGGTGGCGCGCCCGCAGGTAGGTGGCAGGGCTGCGGGTGAGGGCGGCGCGAGGGGCCGCAGAGGTCAGCGGCGTGCCGTTACGGGCGGCGCAAAGGCGGCGACGGGCCGATGAGGGTGGCGACGGGCCGAGTAGGGCGGCGTCAGGCCGCGAAGGGCGGCGACGTGCCAAGTAAGGGCGGCGCGAGGGAGGCTGCTAGGGGCAACGCGACGGGGCCGAAGGAGGCCTAGGTCGGGCGCGACGGTAGAGAGGGCACACGAGGCGCGACTCGGGCCTAAGCGAAGTGCGCTCCGGGCAGGAAAAAAAAAAATTCGACTTGGTGGGCCCTAGGAACAGTTCCCACGAGGGAACCTGCTCGATACCATGAGAAGAAACGAGAATGAATGACTAAGGAATGAAAGTGATACAAGTATGCAACCTTAGAATTGTGTACCCCATATAGGCTACCCCACTAGAGCCTACACAACATTATAATTTGACACTCGGTAGTGCCGGAAACTCGTTTGCGCTCTTCGTTCGAGAAACGTTTGAGACTGAGGGTGAGGGCCAGTTTCTAGGAATCCCATGATTCGGCGGAAGGGCGTGACGGCAGGGAGGAGAGGTGGGATTCGATTATGGTGGCGACTTGGGGCCGGGGTAGGAGGGAAGAGCTGAGGCGCCATGGCCGCGGAGCGATGGCCGGGTTGTCGAAGATGAGGGTGCAGAGGGGGGCAAAGGAGTGATCAGAAACGTCTTCGGGGGTCCAGAGGTAGGAGGTTTCAAAGGTCCGTGGAAGGAATGGACTGGAGAGGTAGATTCGGTCTAATCTAGAGGCGGGTGGGAGGGCTGAACCGGTGCTGACCTGGCGGCCAAAGTAGGAAAACACGGGGTTAACAGGGTGGAATGAGCGGTACAAGTCACAGAGTGCATGCGTCGACAGAAGGTTTGACACTAGAGTGGCCTCGCTAAGTTCATGGCCAAGCAACGAGCGGTTGCGGTCTAAGGGGGAGACTACCAAATTAAAGTCACCAGCGAGGATCGTAGCAGCGGCTGCGGAGGGTTGTTCCAGTGCAGGGGTCAGGATGGACCTCCACCAGATCTGACGGTCAGTGGCCGGTCTCGGCACGTAGATAGCAATGAGGCGCAGTTGATCATGCAGGAAGTTAATGTGTACAGATAGGAGGTGCCCATCGGCGGAGGGGGACGGGGAGGTGAGGGAAATTCCTCAATTGAAAGATAGGATGGAGACGCCGCCAGGTTGTGGAACTTATTGGCCTTTTGAATTCTTTGCGTATAGGGTGGGGGCGTGAACCGAGAAGTGTGGCCGGAGTTGGAGGGATAGCCGAGATAGGTTTTTTTAGAGGCGTGTGTCCACCAAAATGAGAATGTCAGTGTGCGGGGGAGACTTGGAAAGCCAGCGTTTTAGAGCATTACGTTTAACCGGTGTATTGATACCATTGATGTTCAGGCTGCGTACCCTTAGGGGGGTTAGCATTGTGCTAAGTGCAGGCCCACCGCGCAGGAGGGTGCGCGGATCCACGGGCTAAAGCATGATGGTGGGTTGTTAAGGGATTGACTGAAGGCATTGAGAGGGAGGTAAACAATTGGAATCATATGGTTGTTGTGCTGCTGCCAGCCAGGTAGTATATAGGATTCCAAAGACTGGCCAGAGCCGCGTATCCAAGGAAAAACAAAGTTGGTTATAAGCGAACTATTGGTGTATAGGCTTGTGTAAAGTAAGGTGAAAAGGTTAAAACAAGTAGTTATTACGTAGGAAAGGGCGTATGTTGTATCGGGCAGAGATTTGTGAGTTGCAAGCTCATCTATTTGTTTAGGTGTGTAATGTGGAAAGGAGGCCAAAGATGATACGAGCAGAATTATAGCAGCGGCGAGTACAATCAAACGCGAAAAGGCCAGAAATGACAGAGGTGCATACACTACTTGGAGGCCAGATAAGAGGGGCAAACGAGGAGGTGCTGGCCAGCGGCCTCTGTCAAGACGGACATGCACTAGCGTTAAGATCAGCCACGAAGAAAGGCAGCAATCTGAGGCTTCTGCTGCATGGTGAGAGCGTGCCAAGGGCTGAAAGCTTCCTTGGCTGCCGGGCGATGGGCAGTAGCATGCACGCCGGTGGAGTGCTGGTCGGACTGAATGTGGTCCATGGCACTGTCGAGGGCAGCACCTCAGGTGAAATCGCAGAGGGTGCACGTCCAGGTTTTGACTTGCTCGTACAGCCCGATGAAGATGAGGCCGGGGTCGTTGCGGAAAGCGGTCGGCGCAGGTTCCCCAAAATATTGCCTGCGAGAGAGGGAGCATTCAGGGGGAGAAGAGGGGCGCGGGGAGGGCACGGGGGAGGGCAAGTATCCAGGTGTAGGGGAGCAGGGGGGGGGTCGGGTGAGGGGCAGGGGGGAGAGGCAAGGGGGAGGTTTGAGGAGGGAAACTCCGTGAAGGAGTTGTGGCTGCGAGGGAAGGGAGGTACAGAGAGGGGGGAGGGGCATCGGGAGGGGACGGGGTTGGGCGAGAGTCCAGCCAGAGGGAGTGAGGAGGTCGAGGGGGTTGATTGTGATCTGTTTGGGTGCGGTGTGGAAGAGAATGGGGGGAGGGGGCTGTTGACAGAGGGGGGGAGTCTCTGGGAGGGCGGTGCAGCCCAGAAATGAGGAGGGTGGCGGCCTGATCCTTGAGAGGGTAGTGAGAAGTGTGACTGAGGGGAGGGGAGGGAGGCGGGTTGGGGGGTAGGAAGAGGGGGGGAGAGGGAGTAGGGCTAGAAGTGCCGGAGAGGGGAAAAGGAGGGAGACGGGACAAATAGGGTGCGAAAGGGGGGATTGTTTGCTGGGAGCAGGGAGGGCGGGTTCCGACAGGGAGGGTTGCCTGCGGGGGGGGGGAGGAAGCAGGGGGAAAAGTGCGGTAGTGGGTTGGGCTCGTGGGGGAATGGAGGTCCGACCGCGAGGGAGGTGGGGGAGGGGGTGTCATGGGGGGAGTGGGGGGAATGGGAGGGGGAGGTGCGTGCGAGGGTGGGGGGTTGATTGCAGGGGAGCGGAGGGGGCAGGGGGGGGTTGGTGGTATGGAGTGAGATTATGGGTGGGCGGAGGCCCGACCAGGAGGTGGCTTGAGGGGGGAATGTCACAGGGGGTGGGGAGGATTTGAGAAGTGGCTGGAGGGGGGTGGTTCGGGGGGGAGAGAAACCTGCTTGGGTTGAGGAGGGAAGAGAGGGGGTGGCGGTGCGGGGTGAGCGGGTGGGTGGGGGAGAGCTGGGCGGCGGGGGGGTGTGGGTAGAGAAAAAGCAAATGGGAGAGGGGGTTGGCAGGAGAGGAGGTCCAGAGAGGGGGGGCAGTGGTCTCTGGATGGGTGGTGAGGTGGGGGGTAACGTGGGGAGGGGGCACAAACAGGTTGGTTAGGGGAGTGGCCAGGGCCTGGGCGACCGTGGGGAGCAGGAGAGGAAGGGCAGTGGGGGAGGGGGGCGTGAAAGGACATAGGGACATTGGAAGGTGAGCACGGGGGAGGGGGGGGAGCAGGTTTGTTGATGGGCAGGGAAAAGGTGAGTCGCGGGGGGGGGAGAAGGCAGGTTGGAGAGCAAAGGGGGAACGTACAAGGGGAAGAGGGGAGCAAACTGGAAGTGAGGGGTGACAGCAAGAACGAGGGAAGTTGGCAACAAAAGCCGAAAAGGTGTTTTGCGTACCATTTGCCTGCTGCAGTTGCGCGATTGAAATAGTGTTCTGGTTCGTGAGGCGTTGGCGGCGGCGGGTCGCGAACGCGCGGTGGTTGTTGGAGCATAGCACGCACACGTGGCAGGAGAAATTCAGCAACATGGGAGGTTTGTTGACCTCCAGCAGGATTTCGGATGGAATAAGGTCGAAATGCGGGTCGTCGGAGGTGGCGACTGGGAGCCCAGCGAGATGAGTGAAGTAGGTACCCTCGTAGGGGTCAAAGGCGCGGTGGAAGTTGGTCAAATCGGCGAGCCAGTGCGCACCGTCCGGCTCAGTGGACTCCAGGAGGAAGGCACGGATATCCTCTGGTGCGTACTCCATAGGGTACGTTACGGATAGAGAGGGTGGGAGTGCCTGCAACCTTAGCTGCAGTAAACTCCTCGATTCTGTCCACAAACTCCTTCAGCAGAACGGGGCGGGAGTTGGGGAGTTTGAGAGAGAAGGGGAACATCCTGCGGAAGGCAGTTGCGTCCGCCTGCGACGGCCATGAAAACTGCAGGCGGCCGTAGACGCGGAGGGGGTCACCTACGGTCTGCTCGAAAGGTGGGATGGTGCCAGCTTCGAACATGAAACCGCACAGTGTTGCATTGATGCCGGCAAAAATCGCGGTGCGGTGCGCTTCCAGCTCGGCTTCAGGGAGGAGGAGGGACATGACCACGCGGCGGCGCTGAGGAAGCAGCAGGGGGGAAACGACGATCAGACGCGCGCGGCGAAGGTTGGGGGGGGGGGGGGGGGGGGGGGTACCCGGGAAGGGCGAGGCGATGGGTGGGCAGCCCAAGGGATGGGTTTGAGCCCGAGGCGACGGATGCTGTAGGCAGCAGCGTGGCCTGCCGGGATGTTGGGGGCGCTTGCGATGGCTGTCAGCGAGGGCGACGGGCCACTCGGTGGCGCGCTAGAAGCGGCAGCAGTAGGGGGTGCGGGTGAGCGCGCCTGATACGCTTTGGGCCGATTTGGGAGAGGTGGTGACGTTGGTGGAGGGGGGGGGAGGGGGAGTGGCTGGCGCCGGCGTCAAAGCACGGTTTTTTGGCGACGGGGAGCTCAGCGGAGTCAGCAAGGTGATCGATCAGGCCTTCGGGCAGATCGTCCACCAGGAGATCTTCTCCGGATGCGACGAGGGCCTCCTCTTCGGCAGCGGACATGGTCTGATCGGAATTGTAAATTTGCTCTGCCATAATGCAAGATGAGAAGGAGAGGCGTGGGGGGGTATAAGTTGTGAAGTGAATGCAAGAAAGAGAAGAGGGACTGTTATATATAGAGCGGGAGAGCAAGGCCACGAGAGGGGAGGAAGGGGCAGGGGGGGTGGCGACCAGCATGAGTTCCTGACGGCCTATGGGCCTGTGGGCACAAGGAGCCTAGGAGGCATCGTGGATGGGGGGGTGTGCGGAGAGCGGGCAGGAAAGGGATGAACGGGGATAGCAGGGGGGACAGAGACGTTACGGTAATTACGGAGCCGTGGCGAGGGAGTTAAGGCCATGAAAGTGGGCTGGGAGCCTAGTCGGCTTCCCGAGACCCGGGACCTTACGAGGGTCCAGACGCATGCGAGCGGGAAACGAGCTTCCAAGCCATGTTAATGGCACAGCCGGAGGTGGTCCAGGGAGAGAATCGTAGGGTGGCAGCGCCAAACTGGCATGATGTGGGAAAGGATCTGAAATCGGAGGCGCCACGAGGGTGGCACGGTACAGAGAGGAGGGAGAGTCGAGGAACCGGAGATGGCGGTCCGTGGGAACGAAAAAATTCCGCCTGATAAGGAGGAAAAACCGGGTGAAGTTTAGTCAGCAGCTTGAAGTGAGGGCTGACGAGGCCGGTCTTCGTGATTGTTGTAAGTAGGAGGGGGGTGGTTGGGGAAGGGCGGTCAGTTGGCGCGGGCTTCGGACTTGCACAGGTGAGGGACCTGGGAGAAGGGAAAACGAGAGGAGAAGGGGGGGGGTTAGCGTGGAGGACCGGATGGCGTGGCAGAGGTGCGTTGGCAGGATAACGTGAGGGTTTGTGCAGGGATTTACGGAGAGCAAACGAAGCTTCTGCAGGATCGGGAAAACTTACCTGGCGGGAAAGTTGTCCTGGGGTGTTGAAAACGAGAGGTGGGGGACGTTGAGCAGAGAGAAAATCAGCGATTGAGAGTGATGAGTAGGGGGCTAAGAGGGGGTCGAAGTTTAGCTTGGAAGGGGACGAAATGAGGTGTAGGGGAGAGAACACGCAAATCGTTAGAAAAAGGAAAACGAAAAGCGCCGGCGCCCTTCCCTGCGCCAGCGCCCTGCCCTGCGCCGGCGCCCTGCCCTACGCCAGCACCCTGCGCCGGCGCCCTGCCCTGCGCCAGCGCCCTGCCATACGCCCGTGCTGCTACCCTACGCATCGCGCCCTATGGCAGCCCGCGCGTCGCGCGCTGCTGCCCCACGCATCGTGCCCTACGGCAGCCCGCGAGTCGCGCGCTACTGCTCCGTGCGTCGCACTCAGCTGCAGCACACGCGTCGCGCCCTGCTGCAGCACACGCGTCGCACCCTGCTGCCTTGCACAGCGCGCCCCCTACTGCTCACGCTGCCCAGGCCGAGCCGAGCCGCCCTACCCGACCCGATCCGCCCTACTGCTCGTGCTACTACTGCTGCTGGTGGAAGTGCTGCTAGGAGTGCTGGAGGTGACGCAACCTAGCTTCATCGAGCCGCTCGGCTGCTCTTACTGCTGCTACTCCTCGTGCTACTGCCTTCACTCTGTAGTGCCCAAGAGGTTCGCGCTCCTCCTAGCTTGCCCGCCATGACTTCACTTTGTAGTAGCGATGGGAGTGGTGACGGCGGTGGTGGTTGCAGTGGGAGTGGTGGCTGGCCGTAGTAGCAGTCAGTGTGACGCTGTTTGGTGCGGAGTTTCTGGCGGCGGCCACATGCAGCTACGGCGGCGTCTGACCCTTACGTCCAAACAGCTTCATGAATGGCTTTACCAGCGTGGGACGTCTCCGAGTCCTGGTCACTACCCGTACGTCATTCGCACAGGTCGTCGAGCTGGTCAGACCTGTGGGACACCTGGTCACACACAGTCCCGCCGCTTCGCCTATTTGAGTGATGCCTGGCACGCAGAGTTTGGCGATGAGGCTGAGATCCCCCACTGGCTTGAGCTGCTTAGGTCGGGCGTTGATGTCCTTGCTTTAGACTATGACGCCATCTTTACTGCTATGTATGCTTTCCCTGGTGGTGCTGAGGGTGACTGTTACCGGTGTGTGCAGTACGACCCCGGTATAGAGGTTGCTGCTCTAGGTGCTACAGAGGCTGCTGCCTTACGTGCTAGCGAGTCTGCTCTCTCAGGTACTACGCCTGCTGAGGCCTTGCATACCTTCACGCTTGACTCAGGTGCTTCCCGCTCTTTCTTTCGCGACAGTACCGCACTCACGCCACGCCCTGCACCTGCTGCAGTGTCTCTGGCTGACCCCTCGGAGGCCCACTTCTTGCACGGTCCACCACTGTGCCTCCGTGCCCTGTCAGTTCCGTCTCGCTCACTGTCAGGTCTTCACATCTCCTTGTTCTCTATGAACCTAGTGAGCAACGCAGTCCTCCAGGATGCATGGGTTGATACCTTTACCACTGGAGGACAGCGTGTGGCGATCTGTACGTGCTCGCGGACTAGCCGTCACCTGGCCACGTTCACCCGTCGGCCAGGGTCGAGTCTTTACACACTGACTAATGCGTCCCCTCAGGTAGCTGCTACTGGTCAGGTGTCTACGTCAGGTCAGGTAGCCTCCCCTTGTTCGTGTCGCTCCCTGTCACACCAGACTCTTCTCTTTCACCACCGCCTGGGTCACCTCTCCTTGCCACGTCTCCGTGGCATGCATCGTCGCCTCCTAGTATTTGGTCTTCCCAGGTCTCTCCCTCCCCTCCCTGCCTCCCCTGTGCCGCCCTGCCTTACTTGTGTCGAGGGGCGGCAGCGCGCCGCTCCTCACTCCTCCTCGTTTCCCCTGACAGAGGCTCCTCTCCAGACCCTCCACTAGGACGTGTGGGGCCCAGACCGCGTTCGTGGACAGGGCGGTGAGCAGTACTTTCTGCTGGTTGTCGACGACTACTCGCGTTACACCACAGTCTTCCCCTTGCGCACCAAGGGTGAGGTCCCTGCTGTCCTGTTCCCTTGGATCCGAGCAATCTGTCTTCAGCTCCGCCGGAGGTTCCGCCAGGACCTTCCTGTCCTGCGTCTGCACTCTGACAGAGGTGGTGAGTTCACCTCCAACCTCTTGCAGGTCTTCTGTCAGGGGGAGGGCATCGAGCAGTCGTTCACGCTTCTGGGCTCACCACGGCAAAATGGGTTTGCTGAGCGCCGCATTGGCTTGGTCGTGGAGATCGGGCGTACCTCCTTGATCCATGTGGCGGCTCCCTATTTTCTGTGGCCGTTTGCGGTTCGGTACGCCACGCAATATCTCAACCTCTGGCCCCGTGTCTCTTTGCCAAAGACCTCGCCCACACTGCGTTGGACGGGAGAGGTTGGCGATGCGTCGCGTTTCCGAGTCTGGGGTGCTTGTGCCCTTGTCCGCGATACGTCCACGGACAAGCTCTCCTCCCGCACCATTCCCTGTGTCTTCCTTGACTTTGCCCCTGATGCGCGTGGCTGGCAGTTTTACCACCCCACCTCACGTCGTGTCTTCCCCTCTCATGACGTCACCTTTGACGAGTCGGTTCCTTTCTACCGTCTCTTCCCCTACTACACTGCCCCCCTCCCTCCCCTGCCGCTTTTCCTCGCTCCAGGTCCCCCTCCGGTAGACCCCCTCCCCCATTAGGGTCCTGCTCTTTCAGGTGTGTCTGAGGTAGACCCACTCCCCTTGGTTGAGCTTGTAGAGGTCACTAGCGATTCAGGTGCTGCTACGGGTGGTGCTGCTCGAGGAACTGCGTCTGGGGGTGCTGAGCCTATGCGTGAGGTGCTGGGGGGTGCGGAGCCTGGGGGTGCTGAGCCTGCGAGTGCCGAGCCTGGGGGTGCTGAGCCGGAGGGTGTCGGTTCTAGGGGTGCTGAGTCTGGGGGTCTCTTTTCACGATGGGGGCCTCTCTCACCACAGCAGCTACGAGAATTGGCTTGCGTGGCATACCCTCTTGCTGGAGGTGGAGGTCCTGCTGCTGGAGGTACTGCAGCTCGAGGTGCTGCGGTTGGAGCTGCTGGAGCTGCTTTGTCGTGGAGGCGCTGGGAGTGTTGGTGTTTCTGGTTCTGGAGGTGCTCGTACTGGAGGTACTGGAGCTGCCAGGACGGGTGGTGCTGCTGGAGCTGGAGGTGCTAGTAGTGCTGGCACTAAGAGTCCTGGAGGTGCTCGTCCTGGAGGTACTCGAGTTGTCGGGGTCCGTGGTACTAGAGGCACTGTAGCTGGAGACCGCGCATTGGAGTTCGAGACCTTGGAGGTGGAGGTGCTGGCCCTCGAGGTGCTGGCCCCGGGGGTACGGGTGCTGAGCCTAGGGGTGCTGAGTCTACTAGAGGTCCTCCTGGTGCCGCGTCGCAGCGGTCACCTCTCTCGCCGCAGCAGCTGCGCGAGTGGCTTGGTTCGCGCACCCTCCTTCGGAGTCGCGCTGCTCTAGCTGGAGGCACTGCTGCTGGAGGTGCCGGAGCTGGAGGCACTGG